CCGCTCTAACAAAAGGGTGCAGGCAGTGACTTACTCCCAGCAACGCAGCAGCAAGTGACAGCAGAGTTCTCAAACGGTACAGCCATTGGCAAAACAAATATCTGCCCTACAGCGACCAAGTTTACACTGCAATCTGCATCCCTTGAATTCAGATCAGTTAATTGCCTGCAAGTTTATTTATAGATCAGTTTTCAGAAAACAGAAACCTTTTTATACCATTCAGTCTATAGATTTTTCCTGAAGGTATGAATGGCCATATTATAGTTTATTTATTATGCTTATAAGCACTGAACAGGTAAAATACATTTTCTGGTTAAAAGCACTTAACTTGCAATTTTATATTTGACATCTCATGTCTTTTAAACAGTCCTTTCAAAATAGAAATGAAACTACTTACTGGTTGCATAGCTCTGGCTGTCTAACTAAATTTTGAATGAATTCATTCAGTCCTGCTCTTCTCTGTTTAATAAAATCTGGAAAAAAATAGATAGATTTATTAGAATAATCAGTCACCTTGCAAAAAAGACTTCTTTTCAAATTTACTTTTTTTAAGACTTAAACAGCAGTTAAAAAGAGATTGTTTCGCAACTGGTTCAGAACAGGGTTGGTTCTACATATGAAAATCACTAGCTTAAAACATTCAAGTGAGGTGAGAGAACAAATATGTTTCTCCGCAGCACTAGAAAATGTAGAAAGCCGGGTAGGTTAGAAGTGCACTGAAGTGCTTCAAGAACAGCATGTAACCACCATGGGCTAACTTGGGCAGTCTTCATTGCACAGGGGAGCCCTTCAGGACCTGATTCCGCTCTAAAAAAAAACACAATACGCAAAACTTATCCATTGCACAAGTCAAGTTTTTACATAAGCAGTCCCACCAAACAGCGTATTTCCATAATGTATGTGTGGCAGCGGGAAAGTTGCACAATTCATCCTGCTAGCAAGCACTGAGATGTAACCGTTAAAGATAACTAAATAAAATGCTTTTGTTTCCATTTTGGACATCATCTCTAATATTAAAAAAAAATCCTCAGAATCTCCACCCTCCTCCAAAGCTTAAGACACATTAACTTTTCTTTAGCACTATGGAAAGATATACACATGAAATAAAGTGTAAACCAGAGTAATCTTATCTTTCATTACTCATATCAACAATAATTTGTATGGAAAAAGAATATTCAACTTGTGTACTAACTTTTAAGGTATTCCAATTACCCTGTGACATATAGACTACTGACAACTATTAAAATTTAAAAGTTAAAGCTGTATTTAAAATATTAAGAAAAATGTTCATATTGTTTCAGGGACATAATCCCTAAACACTTGTTAGGATATTTATTAATCCCAAACTACTGACATCAAAACAAGAAGGTAAATTTGCATAAAGATGTTACAGGAGTCACCAACATCAGCAGTTTCTGTCTGGTGGCTGTACAATGCCTCAGCCAGCCACTCTAAGCCTACAGAGCTATCCATGCTGTTGAAGACAAAACACCTGCATCATGATAGTTCAAATATATTCTGTAACTTCCTAGTTCTGTATTCTGATTGGTTTCTATGATTTCCCTCTGCCCCATTTCTGAAGTTAAAACAAGATTAATTTGGAAATAACTTAAGTGACAATAAAAAATGGAGCATTTAGTTTACAATGTAAGTTACGACAGTATTTTTAGTAGATTTTGGAAAAAGGGATATACAAGTTTCACCCTACTGCACTCCAATGCTGCATACCCAAGCATGGATTGGTAGAAGTAAAATACCTTTCCAACATTTGTAAAATATGCAAGTTACTCCAGAAGCCAGCAGAAACATTACATCAAAGCTTCAATAAATCAGTGTTAAGATAAAGAATTATTTAAATGAGCATCATGGCTCCATCTCCACCCTGCCCCCCAGCAAGAAACATCATGAGAACTATGTAGTTTCTCATGCTTCAAGGATTTCAGCATAGTTCATGTAAATGTAAAAGAAGTCTGAGGACTTTGTTTTACATATATAGGTTTCCTAAAGTTGTAGGCTCCCCCCCCCTCCCCCCCCTTTAAACTCCAATTTCCTAAATTTGACTCAAAGAAATCCACCTATACATTTGGCTGTACAGCAGACCAGACTACATTACCAGGTCTTCAGCCCACTCTGAAAACCCCAAGGTCAGAGAAAAGGAAAGAAACCAAACCAAAACAAGAAGTCCCTGTAGACACAACACATGTAGAACTTCTGGCAATCATCTACATCTTCCTGAGAAGTAGACATCAGAGCTTGACACTTGCATTTGATTAATAAAAAAAAAATAGAAGTGTGTTTCATGTCAGGATCCAGCTGATTAACTGGAACTGCCAAAATTTAATTTGTTTGAACCAACTCTTAAAAAACCCAAAAGACCACATCCCAAGAGTTCAAAACCTTTGGATCTATTTGTTCTTCAGCAAAGGACAAAATGAAATGCTTGAAAGAGGTGCAGGAGGAGGTGAAACTACAAACACAGTCTGATCACATCAGCAAGCCAGGGGAGGGTAGGAGGCTCCCAATGACCATCAGGAAAGTCCTTAAGTAAAAATGGCCTAAATGAAGTGTATAAACACACAGAGCAAAGGCCTGGCCTTCCCTTTTTGTCTTTTTATTTATTTATCAGTGGTGCCACCTAGGTTAATTCAATGAACTTTACAAGTGATTTTTCATTAGAATTTTGATGTGGACAGAGCAAGATTAACTGGGATCTATCGCTGCTAACTGGATCACACCATGTTCACATCAGGCAGGCTTCTGTAAGTGGAACAACATAAACAAGCAGTTCATTTACATCTAAACTGTATAAAGAAGCACATTTAGATACATAGAGTTCAAAAGCCTTCAAAGATATACCCTTCAGTTATTCTGTTTTTCAGAAGGGGAAAAGAAAAAAAAAAAAAGTCATACAAAGGAACTTTAAAATTCACTAGGCACATGTTTAGGAGAGGCTGGGTTTGGGGTTTTGCTTTTACGGAAGAGAGATTACACCTGACAGTTCAGAATCTCTCACAATCCTAAACATGGGAGGATTGAGAGGAGCTATAGCCTTCAGCACAAGAGAGGCACTGGGCCACCAAGCAAGACTTTGTTCACGATCACAAGGTAGAATACCTACCTACGCAAGTTCCTGTTCTTGACTGAAGCATGACTAAACTTTGGCTTAGTCACTGTTTTGAGGACTGATGTAAAACTCATCTAAGATAGCTTCTTGTAGGCTGGAATAGATCAATTTGCATATAAAAAAAACCTGACAAAATGAGTAACAAGGTGATAACTTACCAGGATCAAAATTATCTCCAAATATTCTTTTAGCTGGAATCTTCAGGTTCATGGTGGGAAATTGCTTCTTTAGCTGAAAACAAAACACATACAACTGGATTGTGCTTAGACATCTAAGTACCTAGAAATAATTGCATTTTGTTTGTCTTCTGATTAACAGTTTGAACATCTGATCATTAGTAATTCTGCTCCTCTCTGCCACCTTCTCTACTCAAACACTTGGGGAAAAAACTCAAATACTTGGGGGAAAAACCCAAACCCAAAACAAGCTGTACTTGGCTTGTTCGCGCCAGTCACAGCCTTTTAAATTCAAAGGCCATCTCACTTTAGAAAGCTATGGATTATTGCAGCTATCTTCTGGAATATTGCCAAAATAATTTTCCACTTGCCCCAGAAGACAAAAATATAAGCTAGAATTTCAATGTTGGTTTTACTCTCCTCTTTACTTCCTTCCTCCACCAATTCTCTATCTCCCTTGGGTTCATTTTTTTCTTGATTGCTTGCACAGGGGTGTATGCATGAGGTTTAACACAGGCTGGGGATACCGGCCTCTGGGTTTTGCCCAAACAACATTCTTAAAGCTTTGGAAACCACAGGTGGTCTACCCCCAAGTCAAAACCATAAATAGATGAACAGCCTGTTTTTCATGCTGCTGCATTTGATAATTTGATTATATTCTACACTTGATAAACTGATCAGAAGATTGCATAAAACAGCACTGAATTTATTAAAAAAAAACCAAAACCTGACATGAGACAAGCCTTGATTACATTTGCTTCCTCTTCAAGTGCTCTGCTCCAGAAGAGAAATCTTACTCTCGTCCTCTTTAAGAGAGTAGTTTTCTAATAAAGTAGCTGGCAATTGTTCTTTCCTTAGAAACCTCAGTATCTCCTCCTGTTAGCAGCGCAAGGTTTTTGGTGTGCTATACTATATCAATTATACTGAACAGAAACAGGCCTAAATGTCCTCCTGGTTATGCTTCCCCAGCACCCACTTCTACATACACTAGAAAGACCAGTGCTGAACAAGTTTCAGCAGAGCAATGCTCATCTGAATGTCAAGAGAATGTGGCAAAGGGAACAGCACCACCAACACTCATTCTGCAGGTATGGAAAAGGGGATGTTTTGTTTTCAGATCACTTGCAAGTCTATCCCAAGATGCAGGCAAAGTATGGCATGGTGTATCCAGGCTGACTTCAGCTAAGACCCTGTAAGACCGTTCCAAGTTCCCTGCCTCCATTTGTATACCACTGCCACATATAAATCCACGTACGGTGAGGCAGAAGGGGGAAAGCCTGACTGCTACCCACAGGGGCAATGAAGGGGAAATGGAGGCACAGATAAGCAGCTGGTAATCTTTTCTTATGGGGATCACAGAGGAATTATTTCTTCTTTTGTTAAAGCAAAAATTGTGGGCTCTAAACATGAAGAACTGGAGAAAAGTATGGACACAGGACAGATAACAGACTGCACATCTGAGCAAGTATTTGCCCCACTTGCCCACTATGTAAAGGGGGCAAAATCCTCTCCTAGTAACAAACCCAAGTAATCCATACAAGGCTGCTGAAGAGGCCTATTTTATTTGGACCACTGCCACAAAATTTGGCTATGAAACCGCAGGTAGGCATCACCATGGCTGACTTACCAGAAAGTTAAATTAAGAAACAAGGGTTTGTTCATTGCTTTCAGTACTTCAAGGCAAAACACTTGTTTTAAGAGAAATTTATCTATCTAGATCTTTTAAGTTTTGCAGTGATTTTTACCATCACAAACAAATGCATGTCAGATGTTTTGACAAGCAGTAAATTGGAAGGTTCTCTCATTATACTATGATTCCAAGCAACAACAAAAAAAGTGGCAAGTAAGTGAATTTTGAGTTTGAAATTCAAACAAACTGAAGTTTAAAAACCCCACCCTGTCGTTTTCTTTGAACAGGCTCCTATGCTTATTGAACGTTGACTCAAATTCCTCAAGAGGGAATTAACTTAAACCATAACACTGCGAACAAGTGTTACTCTGTGCTATTCCGGCCTGATTTCGTAAATTGCCTTTTGCTTACCGTATTGTAGAGTTTATCAAACTCTGCATACCGTCGGAAGACAAACCATTCATTTCTGCCAACCGAGACCAACACTTTGTAAACCTGTAGTAACAAAGATAAAGTTATTGCAAACAGTCAAGTGTAATAAAACATTCCAGATTTAATCCTGTGATGGAAATAAGGGTAGGTTGTTATATGTACTGTGTAAATATACTTGTTGAGCTACGTATTTCTTACAGCTAACTCACATAGACATCCACACAGATCATTAAAAGAAGAAAAACAGAACAATGAGTCTGGTATTTTACAGAATTTTTTTAAAACACTAGCTAAGCAAAAACTAACACCAAAGCTGATTCAATGGAGCTTCCTAAGTTCATATCCAACAAGAATACCCGGCCATCAGATAGCAGTCCATAAAATTTGCTATGAGATTTGTCAACAACTTGATAACCCATCATAAAGACTAATATTAAACAAGTAAAGCATTTGAACATAGAAGATTGCCTTCACCAAAACCTAAAGAGAAAGCACATATGGAAGGCAGTTATAAAGATAACTGTTCCTTGCAACATCTTGAATACATGTTATAGTTAGTCCTGGCAGATGATGCCATTGTTCAGGGGGGAAAAAAAGCGCTGCTGTGGCCAAAACATAGCACAGGTTACACATAGGCAGCATTGGGAGGCATAGCTGGAACCTGCTGCGCAGTTCTGGCCATTCAAATCCCATGGCAGCAGAGGCCTCCGGTAACTAGACAGACTGTCAGTCCCTGGCTTCATAAATCTGGTTGACCGCTGAGTGTCCAGAAGGCTTCTCCTGTCTCTCATGAAACTAGTTGACCTCCCTTCTCCACCTTCTCGTAGTTTCAGAAGGAGCCTGGCTATTCCTTCAGGGGAGAGGATTAGGCACAGTAAGGAAATGAGCGCAGAAGGCTGCTAATTCCTGATGCAGAAAACTGGACCAATGTCCCAGTCTCCCTTCTGTCCTGCAACAGCAACTTACCTCTCTCTTTAACTCCCTCAGTGGAAGTGGCAGCCACCACCATTGGTTCCTTAGCCCAAGATTCATATTCATGCTATGTTAACTGCTCAACTACACTGCTGTCAGTCTTCCCTGGGGAACACAGGAGGCTGGACAGAAGCACCCAGGAGGACACTGGTAAGACTGATTCTTTAGAAAACCAGCTTTCCCTTACACTGATAAACAAGCGTTAGCATAAAACCTCGCTACACACCTTCTAAAGCCTACCTAGACTGTAAACAGCAAAAGCCTCAGCTGCAAAGACTTAGGTACTGTCCTCCTGAACTAGGTATCTTACACAGCAGTCAAGTCATGCAAATAATGTTCAAACACACGTTGAACGTTCATGTTCACGAACATTCCCCATGTTCACTCCCCATGAATGCATGGCAGATCAATGCCAACAAGCTCAAGACACAGGCCATGGACAACTTCTTGAATTAGCAGGGTAAAATGCATAGACTGCAAAGTGCGAGCAAACATAACTTAGGATACAAGATAATATCCACCTCCTTGGCAACCTCAAAATTAAAACAGTTTTGTTCTCAGTAGCTAGCTGTAGAACAATGACACAGTCAACATTTTTTACACGAGAGCATAAAAAAAACCCGTACGAGGTCATCCAGTTCATAGCATCATCAAAGCTCCGGCATACCCAACAAAGAAGAAACAGCAAGTTCAACAACTATGGAAGTACTGAATGGTTAAGAACACATATGATATCCGCAAAGAGTTTGGTAAAACCCCAAAACATGTCTTTGGTCTGTGTTATGACTCTCAGCTACACCTATGTAATGATTTAGAGAGATGTGCAATACCTGTTTCTAGAAAGGCAGGGAGCAGGAACCCAGCCTTACTTAGATAATAACCTTTTCAAATCAAATTACACAAAGCAAAAACTAGTCTCAAAAAATCCCTATAACATAGATAAGGTGCATCCACACCTTGTAATAACCTTGGATAAATAATGCAAAACTTTGACAAAGGAAAAAGGAAGAAAAAGAAACAGAATTCCTGAAAACATCACCATCACAATCATTACTGTAAATTATATTCCCAGAAGAAGACAGGATAGGGTCCAGCTGTTTCTGAATGTGATACATTTCTTCACAAAAGAAGTAACTGAAATTAAAATGCTTCAAGTCTGTTTTGGTAGTTCATGCTCCTGGATTAAATATTCAGTTTGTACTAAACAAAGATAGGTAAAAAGGTAGGCTGTTTTCCAATTTCAAGAGAGCAAGCACTGAGAAAGCAAGGAAACTATTAAGTGCCAACAAAAAAAAACAACTCCACAATTTCCACAGGGCTGGAGGTTAGTATTACATATCACAGGTCTGAGACAAAGTTTCCAGATCTAATCAAACAGCATCCTTGAAAGAAATTTCTTAATAAGTCTGTGTATGACGGGGGTGTGAAGGGAGATGAGAACTGGTCACAAAAGAAAATTAAGCCTCAGACATCAAACAGCCTAAGGATAAAAGTGAGAAATCCAAACCAAAGCTATCTGGCAAAAGAATGGCCCACTATGCAGCAAGGACAGAATAGCAATTAATATAGCCTAGATATGGTCCAAAACAAGCACACATTTTGCTCTTTTTATGAACAAAGTGAATGCTGAATCTTTGGAAAAAGGCAGGACAGTGAACTAGAATTAGATATAGATAGAAGCTGGTTAGCACAAATCAAGTGGGAGCAAAAATGCTTCCCTCCCAGAATGCCTGAAAAACTGAAACATGAAATTATTTGTCAAGAAAAAATACTGGTAGTAAATATATCACATGTATGCAGTATTTAACAAAACCAAATCAAATATTCAATACAAGGTTAAGAAAATGCTCAGGAGGAATGAAGAGTTCACTTCCAAAGACAAAACTTCCAAAGACAAAACTGGAAAGCTTGACTTCCTTATCAGAATGAGGACTGCACAGAAACACGACTTTTTAAAAATGCTTCATCAGGACAAGTGCGAGGGGAAAGAGAGCTAGTAAAAGCTCAGTTGCACATACTCGTCTTGTTTCCGTGCCAGCATTAAGTGAGCCACTGTAAGGTTTGAGCAAGAATTCAGAGCATTAAGACTCCAGAATAGTCTCAGAAGCAGCAGCGATACATATTGTACGCGACAGTAAGGTGAAGATTATACAAAATGGTCACCTGAAGTCTTCCCTAGCCTTTATCACCTTAACCTCTCCTTTCACCCTAAGGTCCTTAATGCTCCTTATGGAAATGGCACTAACACTGCCACCAGAAACAGACAGCTACACCTACCACAGGTTTGTGAAGAACTGCTTCCCCCTGCTCCCCTCTCTCACTCCCTGCCAAATCCAGTACTGACAGACTCCAGTCGTAATAACACAGCTACAAAAGAGAAGACATGGTAAAAGCACTGACAGACACATGCTGGAATCCACAGTTCCTACCATGAAGTTTAATATGACCCTCACTTCTGGTATGAAATCCTAAAATATATGCGGGAATACCCAAAAGCTTGGTTTTGAAAAGCAGTTCTTGTCGAGCTGCTAATTATTCCCTGATGCAGAAAGCAGAAGCCATCAAGACAAAGTCCACCTCCACACAGCCAAGTTGGGTTGGATGCCTTTTTCGTCCCCTCAACCCTCAATTTCTGAAGTTTCCTACTCTTACTTGTACACCTTTCTAAAGGGCACACCCAAAGCAAGTGCCTTTATGTTGCTACGGCTGTCACACAGATCTTTGGGTAAAATGACCTGGAAACCACAACACTAGTATGTACACACAGAGGGAGGCAAATGTACCACACTGGCACATTTTAACAGCAGGGCTGCCAGCACTGAGGCAATAAAACAAACCTGTTTTGCTCAAGCATAGACTTCCATGAAGTTTTTCCTGCTCATTTGAGTTTCACATGTATGCAGCAGTTTTAGAAAAGCTCTCTTTTGCTTGTTCCCTTTACCAGCACACTCCCTCCCCAAATTATATCTTCATACACTTGTAGAGTCAAACAGCATTATTCTTCTCCAATGAAGGGAGGTGAAGAGGAAAAGCAGACACATAACTCAAAGTAAATGTTTGTTTTGTTGTATTCTTCAGAGAACAACTCAGTCTAAGGCTGTTTGCCTTCCACATCTGAAGAGTGACTAATTCACTCGGGGGGGGTGTGGGAGGAAGCTTAGAAGTTGTTGCAGAAGAGCAATGAAATAATTTGAGCTTTTCAGAGGAAGTATTATGATGCTGTCCTTATATCCTAGCAAAACAAAAATCCATGTCACACTACTATATTTTTCAGTATGCAATGCAAACAGTTTCCCCACAGAACAGAAAGACTTTACTTCCAGAAAGCAAGTCAAATTGGGAGGCCAAAAAAGGAAGAGGGAGAGGAATGACAAGGAGCGGAAATAGACACAGGATAGTGAAAAACTCATAGGCATTAGAATCAGAAAACAGGAAGGAAGACAGAAAAAAGTTCTGTCAAAAATGTGACAGTTTATATAAAATTTATGAAAGTATAATAGGATATATATTTAAAAAATGGCCACTTAGGGAAAATCAAACAAACAAAAAACCTAACCAAACCCTCACTTTACTCCTTTACAAAATAAATGTTTTCATGAAAAATCATGGACGCCAAATCTTAATCTGATTTGGTACCAAAATACTATCCCTGCATTTGGACACTTAGCATTTTATATGAGAAAATGCTGCTATTTGGGAGTAAAAACACCAGAAATTTGTAAAGCCAAATTCTTTTTGCATACCACAACACAGTTAAACAGTGTAAAACATTCACAACTGCTCACACTGGACTATGGCCAGTACTCAGAAGAGCAAGCGAACAGATTTCCATAAACCTGTTGAAAATAATACCAAGCTTACTAGGGAAAAAAAAAAAGAAAGTAGCACTTTAGGCACTAATAGCCTAAGCATTTGCCTACAGTGCTTACACTCTCACATACTTACAGTAAATCTTTTTCTTTTCTCTCGGTGTTCATCAGAGCTGGGAATGCTAACACTTGGGCAGCTTTCTTTGAGATCCATTGTATGTGTTCTTTCAACAAATTTGTTACAGGACCCTGCTTCAGTCGTTGCAATCGTAAGATATCTTCAACGGTATTGATCCGAGATATGCAGCTTTTCTTCAGAAAATGTGAATTCCATCATGTAATCTTAAAGTGAACAGAAAAGGAAAATTAATTACAGGAACACTAAACTCACAGTGCTAAAACCTGTGTGAGAAGACATTTTCCTGGCAGAAAATGCACTTTAATGTTCACATATACAGCCATAATCATCAGGATTTTGCAAACTGCTTCATGCTTGTGGTCCTTTTTTATTTCACTGCAATCACGTTCTCCAAGGACACAAGTGCACCCAAAAAAATCACTGACTTGTGCAGACATACTGGAAACAGATTTGGGCCCCCTACAGACAATACTGTGAAGGAACAAAGACAGAGGACGGAGACATAATTAAAGATGACAACCTGGTATCAGACATCTGAGAAAAGCTACTAACATGTACATTCAGAACAGTTTATGTCAAAAACAAAGGTTTTCAGCTGCATGAATCTGTGCCAGAGGGCATTTCAGATTTGTCAGAACATGCTGAGTGTATTTAATTATCACATCAGAGATTAAAGACAACACGAGAGAAAAAAAAAAGTTTTTCATGTGAATTTGAGAGGGACATAGGTAGCATCATGTGTCTGTCTGCATATTTACCTTCTTTGCCCCCTCTCCCCCCCACACTTGACATACTTTGTGTTTAGCAGAACAGTAAGGTTGTCCATTCCCTTCAGTAGAACAGTTAGCTTCCTTGCAGAACTTGAGAAGGGCACAAGACAAGAGAGAGGAGAAAGCCATCAAAAAGGCAGAGAGCTTAGTATTAACCGGACGCCTCTTCACTCACTGAGGGACAGTATTCTCCACACCTGCCTTGAGCACAAGCAAATTGTTTACGGGACCCCACTGCAAACAACAAGAATAAGAGCAGCCAAAATTAACGCTGCGTAGCTACAACCCTCTGCTCAGGCCTTCACAGCCATCTGAAGTGTTTTAGTGAATGCAGTTCAGCTTTTAGAACACTGTGTGTCTGACCAACTCACAAACATGAGAAACATTTTTTCAAGAGACCTCAGTTCTCTTCAGAACACCCAGAGGAAAAAGGGAGCGCCCAGTTCAACATTTAACTCCCTATTTTCTTAAAACAGGGAAGTATAAAAGCGAACTGTGTATTTTGTATCATAAATTTCCAAAACACACAAAGTAATCCAACACAATTCTGCTATTAGAGAGACACCCATATTTATGCTGGCACCAAGGCCAAAGCCCCTGGAATCCAGCGAGAAGATTTGTTCTTGATACCCCACTAGTCTCAGTCAGTCAGTTGACTATTTTTTCTTGTTCTCAAAAGCCAGATCAACATCAAGTTTGAACCAGAGAGATATTATTCCTCCTGTAGCCATTTAAAATTAAGTAATTTTCAAAGATCTAGCTGGTGACTTTAAACAAAAAGGAGTTTTTGAAACCACTGTAATCATAGCTAAGCGATAGATCAACCATACTGCAATATATTCAGAAAATTATTTTTAGTTTACCTTAATTTGATTGTTCCCCACTTCACTGATTAGGTACAGTGTTGAGCAGGGTTAAGGGGGGGGTGTGTGTCCTGCCTGCCCGCCCCCCTTATTTGACTATTACACAGCTCATCCAAGCCACTTAGAGCGAGTTTCAAATTGGCTTCTCTTTTCCTTTGGCAAGCCACTGTTAAAACGTTTATTACAATAAGGCACGGTTCCCATTTTCCACAATTTTATACTGGTATGGGATTAAGACTGTTCTTCACCCATTGCCACACACTAAAAATAAGATCTAAAGGTTAACTGTGCTCTTCTCCATCATAAGAGGTCCACTACAGTAGTCAATAGCCACCACTTCCAGTACTTGTTTCACTAAGCTTACATTTTACTAAGCACTTAAGTCAATCTTTAGCCACTTCAGGTCCAGTGCCAGGAACTCAGCACAAGTCCCTGTGTTTATCTCTCTTCCGGCTCATCAAAGAAAAACAAGTAAAGGTTTAAAATGGATTAGGTGTTCCCTGACTCGTATCACTCACCGTCTTTCTCCTCTTACAAACTGACATTCATTACACAGGTCCCTAACATGCTCGCACTCATTCTCACAGTACCTATAGGCTGTACTTCTCTCATCCCTTTCATTTTTTATTCTCGGTGTCATAGTTTTAAATACCAGTACAGGAGCAGTATGGATTAAAAGCTGTAGTCCAAAGAATATCACTTGGAAGACTGAGCTTTATTCCAGATCTGAAGTTGAAAGATCTATGGAAAACAAAAGGAGGATGTGTCACCCAGACTAATTCAGGAAGAATTTATTCATCTTACTAGGGAGAAGAAGAATAAATCACCTGAGAAGCTGAAACTGCAGTGTTTGTATTTCTTTCTTCAAGCTGCCTCAAAGATCACTAGCTGTGATTATTTTCGTTCCCTGAGGCATCTCCTCTGAGTTGTGCCTGGGTCACCAACACTAAGCTGAACTGACAAACTTCGAAGAAATGCATTTTCAGTTTGCCACCAAGTTCCAGAGGATCAGAGCTTTCTTTCAATTTCTATTTGCTATGAGCATGTCAGCTCTCAAGAGCTTCTTTTCTTTGAACTGTAGGTCTGACTGTTGAAATAGGGATAGATTTGCCTTAATCTTTGCCATGTTGTAGTTTAGGAACACTGCTGTAGTTTTGGCAGCAGGTAAAACCACCGATGCTGTGGTAACTACATGAAGTAATAACGGAGAGGAAACAGTAGAGACGTTAGTTTTATCCATAGCTTCAAAAGCGCAAACTGCAGTGTCTTGAGGGTTGCCAGGTACGAGCGAATTTAACAGGCAGTGTCACTTGAGAAGGTTCTGCCTCTGGTTATAGCTTTTAGAAGAAGGAACTTTAGAAAACCAGGCAGCAAAATCAATACCCCTTAAATCATACTCGGGCACTAGTGAAAGAGCACGTAGATAACGCAAGACAGGTTAGCCCCGAGACCAGTGTTGTCCAAAAACAGATAAAACTTTTAAATTGGCTATAGTGTCTAGGCCTGGAACATGGGAAGGCACAGGCAAGCGTATCAGAGCAGAAGTCAGACATCCTCCTGGCAAAGCTTCAAGCCTATCAACAGCTATACTGTCCATTCTCTCCATGGTGGCTGTGAATAAGCAAGCAGTAGTTTCTCCGTTTCCTGCAGGAAGACAAACAATGTCAAATTTCAGGTTGACCCTTGCCTCTGGTGAAGTAGAAGCATGGCAATAACAGAACCCTGACACTGTAAGAACATCTATAGATTTACTATACCCACAAACAAGAACTTTCTGAATGCCTTACAATAAAATATTTTGTGCAACCTTGTAACAGCTACATGCAACAGGCAGACATTACATAGTTTAGTGATCCACAGCAACCTCCTTTTACTGCTTTCTAAGCAAGTTAGGCTCAAACTGTACTAGAAAAGGTTTCTGAAGTTTAATCAGATCATTTTATTCTGTACTAACATATTTTCTTTTATTTTTTAAATTACAGTGGCCTGAAGATGACACCATTGTCACAGACCCTTGTTCTGGGTGCTTAAGAGTCAATCTCTGCCAAGAATGTTAAAAACTAGATTAAGGAAGGTGTGTACTCACCCACTGCCTCTCCAGCTGTAGCCAAATTGCCTTAAATGTTTCTAAGGCCAGTGCAAATCAGCTACGGTACTCACTCCAACTCTGAGTAATATAAGGGAAGTGGAGACCAGAACAGTCAAAAAACCCAAGAGACAGTCTTCCTGCAAGCATTCTTGAAGAATCACCAGGATCCATACCCACCCACTGGAACAGAACAGGCATTTCTTACACACTAATCATCCACCTAGAAAAGCTTACTCTAGGACTGAGTCACCAGTAAAACCAGCTGCTGAAAATTCCACCTGAGTGTGATTCCAGTTACAGAAGGAACCTGCATATGCAGAAACAGAAAGCAAGATACAGCAGACAGTCCTATTATTTGCTATAAACATTACTCTATTTCCTCTTACCTTACAGAAAGTATCATCTTTGGCACACTTTTCATCACTTCCTCAGTCTTCTCCACAAATATCCTGATAATAGCTCAACATATCACTGGACATTACACAATATCTGAGAAAGCCCAGAAAGCAAACTTCTTCTCAACCGCTGTATGATGAAACCGTGTCCCCACTCTCTGGTTACCAGACAAGCAGCTGACACACAGGAAATGGGAGACCAGATATTCAGAATCCAATGCAACAGAAACACAGGATGAGGACAGTCAGAGACTGCAGGAGAAATCATGTGCTTCAGAAAGAGTCAAAAGCAAAAACACAAATCGCTGATTTGTAAAGCTAGATGGATGGCCAGAAGCTGTTGAATACCTATGTTTCATGTAGGCCATCCTTTTAAATACCACATACATATGATTTTTAATACAGGAACACTAAACACCAGCGTAGACCTCTAGAAATACTCCTGCTGAGATAAAACGAGCACTAGCCAACATGTTCTGGCCAATTCTTGGCTTATCTCCACACTCCCTTCTAACCACAATTTGAGAAGAGAATTAAGAATTCAAGCTTTGGTATAAAGGAAAAAGCCTGCTCCCTGTTTACACACCCACCCCACTACCTTACATTTTTAAAAACATCTAGTAGCACCGCTATGGAAAGCAAAGCGTGACTCTGCAGCAATGTGGGCAAAGTCCAATCCAACTGATTCTTTCTGCTTGTAGAAAAGGATAGCAGGTAAAGGGAAAACTCAACCAAGGGAAAGAAATAAGTAACTCCTCTCTTTTTTTGTCTCTATCAAATTTACTTTGGAGAAGTCAGGCGAACATTTCTTTCCCACAATTCTACTGCACCCAAGAACACCCCTTCTGCCCCATCTCTCAAAATAAGACCCAGCAAATTCCTCTAACAGGCTTATAACAAGATTTGTGGCTTGGACTAGATCTATTTGCATTCATGTTTATTACGGGACAGAATGCAGGTTCTTTGCCGTGGTAAGCAAACCCTGAGTAATAAAAAGCGGCTGAAGAACAACTACTGCCAATAAGAGGCAGCTGTTTTTGAATCCTGAACACGGGTTCATACTAATTTCATCTTCAGCCTGGGTCTAT